TCTTAAAGTTTTTCTTAAACTTATTGTGGTCTCCATCCACATAGATTTTTTGAATATGTTTGATCATGTATATGTTTTGTTTTTGTTCACTATGTGGAAAATAAATCAATCAAATCAATCAATCAATCAATCACTCAATTAACATTTCAAACAATGTTCCATCCTAAGTTTCTGAGAGCAAAATTATTTAATGTTATAAAATGAATTTCTTAATAAACTACACTGAATTAAGGAGTTGCTGTCAGTTGTTTTTGCATGTACCAAATTCCTTGACTACATAAAAAAAAGGGTAACAATTGTAAACTGTTATCAGCAGCACAGACAAGGCTTTAGCAGTATCTTAAAGAATACAGAAATATCAGTACATCCTAAAATACAGGAGAGAGGAGGACATATACTTGTTACTTGTTTGATACTTTTTTAGCACTTATTCTTTGCGATTATAAAGCACTAGTTAACATACCATCCACTGTAATATTTCCATCAAGTAAAGCCTCAAACACTCCCCCCCCACCCCTGCCAAACAAAAATTAACATAGTATCCTTTCATGAGTTATGAAGTAATTGATTGGTTAAAAAAATAAAAATTAAGTGCAAAAACTACAAACCCAGCCAAACATGTTGAAAAGACAAGTAGATGGATGTAGATGGGAAAGTGTTGTCATTGATACACTTACAGAAAAGTGGTCTCAGTGACAAGTTTGTATACAAGCTTTACAAGACAATTAAGAATTAAGTCTGGTAGAAGCATTTTGAAGTTTCGGAAGAGTGTGAATATCTTTCAAACTGTGCTATATAAATGATGTAATGTATGTATGAAATATCTTTCTTCAGTCGACCAGTGTACAGAGAATTGCAATAATCTAACCTGGAAAGTAGCCCCAACAGTAGCATGACAGGTTTCCCCATCAATGAACTTTCTGATTCTCCACTGATTTCTAAGTAACCTGATGGTTAAGAATAGCAGATGAGCAAAATGAAACCTCCAAATTTGTAGACACTGCTAGATGGCTTGATTTCTAATTTTATAACTCCATGGTGGTACCTGTAGTAACCCCTAGTGAAAGATCAATACATTTTTCCTGATCTGTTTTCTTCTCTTTAGCTTGAGCCTACTGTACACACTTACACCCACTTCTGAATATCGGTAAAACAGTGGGGCAATTTATGGAGCAAAAATCAAAGCTAGAAAGATTTCAGGGACTAAAAGGAAGATATAGCTGAAGATCATCAGCATTGAAGTGATATAGCTTCCCATAATGTTGCCTAGTGGGCTAATGTACAAACTACAGTACATAAGCAGGGGTCAATGACTTAGCCTCTTGGGGTACACCAGCATTAAGTAAAGGATGTGATGTGCAGAGAAATCACCAGATGGAAACCCTACTACTTTACAACTCAGAAACAATTTAATCCAGTAAAGGGCATATCCTTTGATGCCAAATGCTGTCTCAAGATGATCAAGCAGGACGTTGTGATCAACCGTATCACATGCTGCTGAGAGATCATACAGAATAAGCATAAACCTTGGCAATATATTCAGTGAAAAGAGAAATATCAGTGTGGACTATAATAGAGCTGTTTCGGTACTTTGATTACCCCTATAGGCTCATCAGTTCAGTGAAGATTGAGAGAATAGTTGGTTGATGTTGTATTGATGTGTTGTTGTTGATTTTTATAGATGAAAGGTGATGGGCCATAAAAAAATAAGGTGTTTTCTAGCCAAAGATGGTTGGCGGGCTGCACACATAGGCTTTTTAATGTGTTTTTGCAGGCAGCAAAAAAATCACTGTCAGGCCACATGCAGCCCGCGGGCCAAACTTAGCCCAACTGGGATCTAAAAAATGTAAAACTGAGCTAATTACTAGCGATGATGCGGGTCATTCACATAATTTCAGTACTGGGACAATAATTACTGCCAGTCATCTTTCAATACCAGACAAAAAATATTGTTAATAGGTAATTTCATAAATATTCCTCACAAATACTGTTTATATGACAACATTATATCTTGCATATGATATAATTCTTAGAAACTCACCTTCAAATAATTCACAGCTTAGATCGTCATCTTCTCTTTGATCATTACACTGTAAAAAAGAGAAATTGTTATGATGCTGAGAATTCTTTTATTTTTGTACTATTTCATTTAAAAAAAAAAAAAATTAAGACAATAACAATACAATATAATAATATTAATAATAATAATAATAATATAGTATCTAGAACAATAATACATGCAACAATAAAAGTAAACAAACAATACACATAATATTGAAAATTATAATTATAACAATAAAAATATTTACTAGAGCACACTCCGGGAGTGTATACAGTATTTCCGCCCACATCATAATTCTCCATGTATAAAATTCCCACGCATCTTTCCCATTTGATAAAAAAAAATAATGAAAACATAATCCACCAGGATTCAAACTCGGGACCTGCCGCTTACAAAGCAAACATCATTACCAACTAAACAATTAATACAGCCCGGTAGCTACTGTATCATGGAGGTAGCTATACACAAAACAAAGGAATTTTTCAGTATTTTGTAGTATTCATACAAAGTCTGAAAAAAATAATAATAATAATAATAATAATAATAATAATAATAATAATAATAATAATAATAATAATAATAATAATAATAATAAAAACTTGTAAAGCGCCGGTAAAACTTGTAAAACGCTCATGGCGCCCTCCACAAGAAGTAAAAAATATGAGAGACAAAAATGATGTACTCTTTAAGATTACTGTCATTGATGCAGTTTTTATACACGGTTTCTTTAATTTATTTACAAAAAAAAAAAAAAAATCTCACATCTTTGTCAATTGTAACTGTTGACAATCTGTACATATTGTTTTTACTCAGCCAGTTATTGGTTTTAAATGACATTTTATTTTTTTCAAATATTTGAAATTTGACATTACTATTATGCAAGGTCTGGAAATAAACTTAATGTAGATATGAAATACCAAAACAACTTGTTTGGACTTACTATTTTCACAGCTTTCTCCTTTAAACCCTGGTGCACAAATACAGTTACCTGTCTTGTCATCGCATATGTTACCATTAAAACAAATATTACAAATACTTATACATCTAGGTGCACCCCAGCGGCAAAGGTGGACATTCTGAATGAAATAAATATCTCATAATGTTTTAACATATTAATATACGGCAATGCATTTAGGTTTAACAAATCTAACACTGACTATTATTAAAGAAGCATGGGCTAAGAGTCTACATGGTGTTCACACAAAATGTGTTATGATTACGTACACTGTACAAGGATGCTATTGCTTGTTCAGTGGCGGATCCAAAAATTCGAAATTGGGGGGCCCAGGAAGGGAGATTCACCGCAGAGGGTCTAGCCCACCTAAGACCCACCGTGGTTGGGGCTGAGGTAAGAAAATTGACGATTTTAGCACTCTCAGACCTAAATTTAATTATAATTCTTCTTTTTTTTTTATAATTTGAAAAAATTAAGAAAGGTGGGGGGTCACTGTAAAATCAGTCAATCAAAGAATCAGATATTATTATGTTATACTTAGCTGTGCAAACCTTCAAACACAACTAGCGACAGATCCAGGAATTTGAATTAGAAGGGGCCAAGAAAGGGACTTTCACAGATGGAGGGTCTATACCCTCAGCCCAATCATAGTTGGGGCTGAGGTAAGACCATATTGCATACGATTATCACATTATTCAATTATAAAAGCAAATGAAACTTATAATTATATGCATGGCACTATGCAATACCACATTCAAAACAATGTTATATATAATTCATAACCATGTTTTAATGAGAATGATTAAACTAATTATTTGATCATTTGGGATCCTCAATACTTTATTAGAACATGATTTATGTGAAACTTGACTATTTTCACTGGAATAATGCTACAACCACTTAAAAAAACAGACGATATGCAAACATTGTACCATGTTATGTTTTTGTTATTTTTTATAAATAAACAAAGGTGAAGACGTACTTACAGAACATTTTTAAGACCTGTCAGGTCTCATTCTCAACCTGCATTTCATTACTTCCGTCTAGCAGATGAATGTGCGATGACCTTTACAACCTACTAACTATAAACATCCAGATGAATTTTTTCAACTTATAATAAAACTTCAAAAATGACCACAAAAAAATAAAAAACAGAGAGATATAAGTATAACAACAGTATTAAGTTTTAAATATTAATATTCCATTATTTAAAAAATTTTAATGTTTTCGTATTTTATGATGAAATATCAGAAAATTTCTGAAACCTATATGTAAAGTAAAAGCACTAATCAGTGTAATTCCTCAACTTAATACAAAAGATCTAAATACTGTAAATCCAAAATAAATCTTTTTTTCCTCTGTCTCCCTTGTAATTCACCTAAACTGTAGGCCTACATTTATATTTGCTGTGAAATTTCAATTCTTTTCTTATCTTGTTATAGTTAATTAATTATCCTATGTACATATCATGAATGGAATTTGTAATTTCTGTGTATTTTTAACTTTCCACATTTTTATTTCTTTTGTTTTTAATTTTTTTTTTGTTTTAAATATGTAATGACATGTAATTCAGATTTACTGTGAAATGAGGACATGAAAATTGAATTATTATGATTTACCAATAGTGTTAACTTACTTATTCAGGCCAATTTCTGAAGGTGGAAATGCCCTACTGCCACTGGATCGATGCACTTTTAGATTCTAGGGAGACAAATAAAATCAAAAACTACAACAAATGAACATTTATAGTAAATGCAATTAGTTTAATGATGGGTTAGAAAGAGTGAAATTAAGTTTCAAATTTTCTTTTCTGAAATAAAATTTCCACCAAAAATCAAACTTTAAATATAAAGCCAAATAAAATTAATTGATCACCTCAAATTGTGGGTCATCATTAAAATATTTACTCTTTCATTTCTGATTTTAGCACTCACAGACCTAAATTTTATTATAATTCTTCTTTTTTTCTCTTTTTCTTTTATAATTAAGAAGTTGGAGGGTGGTGTGGTGAATCCACTACTGTAAAATCAATCAATCAATCGAATATTCTTATGTTATACTTAGCTGTGCAAACTTTCAAACACTATGGAACGACAAATTACAAGTGGCGCAGTGCAAAAGTCAGTCGCAGTGCAAAACTAAAGTGGTGCAGTGCAAAACTAAAGTGGTGCAGTGCAAAACTAAAGTGGCGCAGTGCAAACTCAAAATGCGTGTGCCACAACTTTAGTTTTGCACTGCGTCACTTTAGTTTTGCACTGCGTCACTTTAGTTTTGCACTGTGCCACTTTTGCACTGCGATTGTAGCTTGTCCTTTTTCGCGATATTACGCCAAAAGGACACAGTGCAAAAGTCAAGTGGCACAGTGCAAAACTAAAGTGGCGCAGTGCAAAACTAAAGTGGTGTAGTGCAAAACTAATATGGTGGCACACGCATTTTGAGTTTGCACTGCGCCACTTTAGTTTTGCACTGCGCCACTTGACTTTTGCACTGCGCCACTTGACTTTTGTACTGTGCCGCTTGACTTTTGGCGATATTGTATGGAACGTCAATTTGGCATTAAAATAAAAATTAACTAATTTTTACTAGGTAGGCCTATATTATTATTATTATTATTATTATTATTCAATATCTTGTGACACCCCTCGAACTATATTTAGGCAAAGATAAACTAAAACAATAATTACATACACATTCGCAAAAGTATAGTGCAGCCCAATAGAATGAATTTTTATTTCTTTTATTGAATGTTCTTCTGGAAATGAAATCCCACTTTAGTAGTATGTTCTATCTCCTTTTTAAATCACCATTTACACATGTAATTAATTAGGATCCAATTCCTCAATCATCTACATCAACAATTGGATACTGAAATACA